GCAGGAGTGGGACCGGCTGCTGGATCTGTGGGAGCGGAACATGGAGTACCTGCACACGGTGACCGTGCCCAAGTTCGGGCCGAAGAAGCGCGAGACCTTCGAGCCGCAGGGCATGGTCCAGGGGCCGACGCTCCACCTCCGGGCGCTGGGCTCCAAGGAGTTCGCGGCGGCGGAGGAGATCAACCGGACCTACTGCGCCGACTACACGGTCGCCGAGCTCGACGGCCTGCACTACAACTTCCTCCAGGCGCCCTACTGCGACGCGGTGGCCGAGGCCATCGACGCGTTCGTCGTCCGCCGCGCGGGCGGCGCGCCGCCGCCGCCCGCGTCGCCGCCGTCGTCGCCGCGGTCGCCGGGCGGCGCCGTCGCGACGCTCGCGGCGCTGGCGGCGTCGCAGGCCGCCAAGCTCGGCGACGCGCCCTTCCTCGAGGCCTGGGACCGCAAGGCCGGCGTCGTCGAACGCGCGTCGTTCCGCGACTTCGGGCGGCGCGTCCGCGCGACGGCGGAGCGCCTGCCCTTGGCCCGGGGCGACAGCTGCGCCGTCCTCGTCCACCCGACCGTCGCCGCCCACGTCGCCCTGCTCGCGCTCGCCGCGGCCGGCGTCGTGGGGCACGTGCTCAACGCCACTCTCAGCCTCGACTCGTGGACGACGATGGTCGGCGGCGCCTGCCGGGGCTTGCTCTGCGGCCTGAGCCTGCGCGAGGGCGCCGGCGCCCTCGCGCAGACCGTCGCGTCCAAGGAGGTGCTCGTCCTGCTCGGCGCGGGCGACGCGCCGAAGCTGGGCCCGAAGGAGCGGCCGCTCGACACGACGGCGCCGCGCGGCGCGCGGGACCTCGAGCCCGACGCGGCCGTCGGCGCCGACGACGTCGCCTTCGTGCTCTTCACGTCGGGCACGACGGGCGCGCCCAAGGCCGTGGCCCAGACCCACGGGAAGATCCTCGCCGCGGCGGACCGCATGTTCCGCTACGAGGCCGGCGGCTCCGCCGCGGCGACCCAGGGCGCGACGCTCGCCTTCCTGCCCCTCTACCACAACCTGGGCCTCTACCACAACTTCGTGCTCAATCTGCGGGCCGGGTCGAAGACGCTCGTCCACGCGGCCGCGCCGTCGATGCCCCTCACGCTCGGCCTGCTCCTCGAGGCCGCGCCCGCGCTGAAGCCGACGTCGCTGGAGGTCGTCGCTGTCCTCGCGGAGCAGCTCGCCCAGCTCCTGGCCGTCGGCGGCGAGCTCGGCAACGACATCAAGCAGCGCCTCGCGAGCTTGGACTCCGTCAAGGTCGGCGGGAGTCCGCTCTCCGCCGAGGCGCACGTGAGCCTCACGAACGCGGGCCTCGCCGTGCTCCAGCACTACGGCCAGACGGAGCTCTGCGGCTACGTCCTCGCCTCCGCGCCGCGGAAGCGCGGCGCGCCGCCGCCCGTGGGCCGCGCGAACGCGCTGCAAAAGGTCGACGCGGCCGTCGCCTACGACCTCCGCGGCGGCGGCGCGGTCGGCGAGCTCGTGCTCGCCGGGCTCCAGGACGAGCCCTACGCGACGGGCGACATCTTCCGGCGCGGCGACGACGGGTCGTTGACGTTCCACGCGCGCGTCGACGGCATGCTCGTGCTGGGGTCCGGCGAGATGGTCGACCCCGCGCCCCTCGAGCGCGCGCTGCTGGCCAAGCTCGCCGGCGACGTCGTGCGCTGCTGCCTCGTCGGCGACGGCCGCCCGCGGCCCGCGCTGCTCCTCGAGCTCCGGAGCTCCGCGCGCGACGGCGACGGCCTCCCGACCGAGGACGCGCTCCTCGGCGTCGAGGCCGCGCTCGCGGACGTCCAGGCCGACGCGCCCGCGGCGACGCGCATCCTCGACACGCACGTCCTCGTCCTCGACGAGCCCCTCCCCGTGACGCTCAAGGGCGCCGTCGACGTCACCGCCGCCATGGACCGCAAGAAGACGGTCCTCAAGCAGGCGGACGACGGCGTCCTCCTCGACGACTCCCTCGCCGCGCTCAAGCGCGTCTGCTACGCCAACGAATAAGCGCGCACGCGGCGGTGAGGGGTGGGCGAGGGGCGGGGCGGGTGTAGGCGGGTCAACAAAAACGTCCTTACGGCGCGCGCGACGCGGGTCCCGGCCCTGGCGGAGCTCCGAGCGGGTCCGGAGCGGAACGGTCGTGCGCGTGTCTCGCTCCATCGCCTCCGCGTCGTCCGCCCCTATCGTCGCTCGCTGCGCGGCACGTACGTGCCCGCGGCGATCTGTTCGCGGTTCTCGAGGCGCTGCTCGTAGACGCTGCGCTGCATGGCCTGCTTCTCGTTCTCCGACGACTTCCGCAGCTCCATCGCGTCGAGCGCTCGGTTGTAGGCCCACGGCAAACCCATGAAGACGAGCACGAGGCTCGTGGCCCAGCCGATCTGCCAGGCCGCCTGGGCCTCGGCGCCCTCGAGCTTCCTGTCCACCTTCTTCAGGACCCGGTTGAGCTTGATGACCTGGCCGGGGCGATACACCTGCGCGAAGCCGCGGCTGCCGGCGACGACCAGGCGGGCGCACGCCGCGTTCGTCAGGCTCGAGAGCATCGTCGCATGCGCTGGCACGCTCGGCGGGCAAACATCTCAGAGTCGCATGTTGCGGTGTTGCAGTGCGGCCGCACGCGTCCGGCGCCCTCCGCGCACAGCCCTC